GAGCTTGTAACACTCCAAAGAGAAAGGAAAAATTGAAATCGCATCATATGACCCCTTTAACCGGTCACTTCAGAGTTAAAAATTAATTTTGAACAACACAAAAGAATAAAATATGTTTTTCCTGAAGGATGTGGGAATATTGGAGATCCCGGCAGAACTGTCGTCCCGATTACGCAGTGCAGCAGGTGAGATCCTTGATACTTGTTAACCAATAAAAAGTACTATACTTAAATTGAAGTATAGGTATTGTGTAATTTTGCTCAATCAAAAGTCAAAGTGTTTGATCAAACACTTGAAAGTACTGTAAAAAGTACTTTCCATATTCATTTAAAAATGGTTTCCATATTTATTTACATAAGTGCCTAAAAGTAAAATGTGAAATTGACAATTCTCAAAATTGACTGATGAAATCAAGAGACAGTGGAGTTTTTTTTTCATCAAAGTAACTTTGATTAACAATTTTCCTATAGCAACCTGTTTACAATTTCCTCAGTGGTTTGACCATGTGAAACTATACTGAACTCAAGATACTGAAAGGTGTTTTCTAACTTTTTTTAAATTCACCAACAGCTGATTTTGAATATATCTACAGTTCAAAAAAGTCAGTAATGCTCACCAAAGCTGCTTTTATAAGCTGATCAAGAATACAGTAAAAACAGGAATATTGTGAAATATGATTGCAGTTTAAAGTAAGTCTGGATTCTTTGATGGATATAAGCAGCCCATCTTTTGTAACATTATTAATGTCCTTACTGTCAATTTGGATTCATTTAATGCATCCTGAATAAATGTTATTCAGTTTTAGACTGATTGACCTTGTTCACACTCAAATTAAGTTCATTTGTCTTAAGTAATGGATATAATTAAACTGCATTGCTTTTGGGTAAAAACTGTATTGCTTATGTTGATGGACTGATGAGTGTCCATCAACATAAGAAAACCATCATGCAATATTTATATTCACATGTTACAATGATGGCTTTCAGGACGTCCTCAAGGATCAGGAGTAACAGAAGTAGCTCTGCCGCAGGTCAAAGCAGACCACAACCTCTCACTGCCCCAAGACATTAACAGACACCCTTTCTCCCAATATGCCAACACAGTCCTGAAGGTAGACGTTGAAAAACATACAGTAGAACATTTTTTAGTTTTGTGGTCTTCCAATTCATATACAATTTTCATGCGTTTGTTATATCAGTTATATGCTTTTTCCCTTTAGGATGGATGGTGCCAACCGCAGGGTTTCCCGCTTCAGAAGCCTTTGACTTCTCTGGACTATGATGATGCCCGTACAGCTCTAGAAATCTACAAACTGGTCAGTAGTATTTTAAATGGATATTTTACCACAGAAAATCAACATAAACCTTTAACCGGGTATGAAATGTCAGAATTTAAATTAATCCTTACGTGTCTACGTTCTTCTTTAGATCCTGCGTTTCACAGGTGACTCTGATCTGACTGGATGGCAAGAGCAGATGTTGGGGAACTACATCGTGGAGAAGAGCCAATCACAGCCCAGCATCGGAGATGAGATTCTAGCTCAGCTGGTGTACCACACTTGGGACGGGGATAATGAGGAGAGTACCCTGCGGGGCTGGTTGCTCCTGGCCTGCTGTCTGAGTGCCTTCACACCCTCTCCTGCCTTGGAGAAACCCCTCCTTAAGTACGTCTTCAGTTATAGTATTACAAATGCAAAAGCGGGGTCTTTAGAACAAGAAGTGATTATTAGTGTAATGTTATTGACTGATATAACATTGCCAGTGACTGATTATACAAATTAACATTTGCTAAATAAACTAGACAAATTGTCCCAATGAAATGTGATGGAGTTAGAAAGTCAAATTTCATAGTGATCAATAGATAAATAATTGCAGACACAAGTCAGTCTTTCTGTACAGCTATTGCTTATCAGCAGAATTTTAAAAAGTATGTATTATGATTGTCCAGGTACGTGTCTGACCGAGGTCCAGGGGAGTACCGCTCTCTGTGCCAGCACAAGCTCCTCACATCCCTCCAGCTCCCCTCCCCTGCCTGCAGACGACACCCTCCGAGTCAACTCGAGTGGACAGTCAATCAGAGAAAAGGAAAGATGGTGGTGGAGGTTAACACTTTCAATGGTAAGGACTGTAGTTTTCTTAGAAAACTGAGCTGATGAGCTGTAATGAGCAATAATATTGGATTCCCATTTGCACTGTTCATTCTAAGAGAATAAATTATATTAAATATATTGGAGTATAAATTTATTGTGAAAGTATTCCAGTTATTTAATGTTGACTGTTTTTATTTTTCAGAGGAAAGGTTAACTGTGGAAGTGGAGTCTTGGACCTCAGGGGAACAACTGGCCTCTTGGCTTCTTAGCTACAGGTAGCTAATAGATAAAGATGTCTCACAAAAAAACAACCAGGGCAGCGTTTCCCAAAAGCTTCGTAAGCCTAAGAAGTTCGAAAAACCATCGTACGACTGATCTTAATATTACGGTCGGTTTCCCAAAATCATTGTAACTTAAGTAGCACTTGAAAATCATCGTAGATCTACGAGTGCTCTGGAGTAATCGTAAAACCTTTGTCTGGAACACAGCATTAGGTTAACATTTCAATAAACGAGCGTGTAGTACTACAATTACTAGCCATTCTATAAGGTGACATTTCAGCACTTGACAAACGGATAGCGACTCCTAAGTATCACTTAAAGTACGGCTACGTGCGATTGTGTTAAGTGCATTTTTGGGAAACGCACGTGAAACAATAACGAACAATCGTAAATTGACTCGTAGAAAACGCTCTTAAGCGCTAAGATCAATCGTTATCGAGAAACGCAGCCCAGGTTATATTTATTCCCATATTTTTTTATATTTTAAGACCTTGAGAAAATATTTTGCATTGTGACATGTTCATGAAAATTAGGCAGATTTTTCATTGCTATAATGCAACAAAAATTGACGTATGTATGTATTTATATAAAGTAGCATCAATACAAGTTTCTTTCTAGGTTTTATTTTGGGACATATTTGAATCCGAAATCTAAAGAAAAACAAAGAGTAATTATTTAATTATATTATATCATTGAGAAATTTGAATATGTACTACTGTTCAAACCTTTGGGGTTGGTAAGCTTGTTTAATGTTTTTATATCATTAGGGTTAGGGTTAGTTAATTAAATTTTTGTGTATGGTAAAATTGTTATATATTTAATCATTATACAATAAAATGCAATATTATATGTTATATACTAAATAATTTCGTTAATTATAATTAAATCAATTAAACATTCAAAAATCAAAAACTATTATATATTTAAAATTAAAATATTAAATAAACCTATTTTAATTGCAATATATATTATATGCAATATATAAAACAAAATTATTTAATATGTAATTATGTAATATGTAAATAAACTACAAGTAATAGTTTTTTTTATATGAGATTCACCCTTGTTGTAATTATTAGAGTGCCATAAACAAACAAGCAGTGTTTGTGGATGGTGAGTGGTGCTTTATGAAGTGTTAAGTCCCTGAGAGTTCAGAATAATTTTAAAGTCATATTTCTTTCTCTCAGGGGTCTGACTGAAGCTACACGGGGCTGGTCTGTGTCTCTGCTGGCTGGGGAGGGTTGGACCGACCTGGCAGGCTGTGACTTTGTAATGGATCTCTTGGCTGGAGTGGAGGCTGATGTGCCCCTGGGTCACCCACCCACTCAAACCGATTACCTCTTTGGCAACACAGGTGACAGGTATGCCTCTGTAGAGCTCAGTGCTGACAGTTAAATCAAAGGAAACTGTCAAATTACAGTTTAATTCCTTTAATGATTAATTTTCTCTTGTCAGGATGGCAACTGCAGACCTGGATGACTTTATACCTCCTGCTCCCCCTATGCAAGCCCCTGGTCTCCCACCCTTTGTAGCATACCCATGGGACACCTATGAACCCTCCTCCACATCCCAGGGTGAGTGTCCAACCATTACTAGGAAACAGACAGTAAATTCTGAGTCATTGTTCTGTTGCATAGATTTGCGGAGGGAAGATTAAAGAAATCAAAATGAATGAAAGCTACAGTATGAGGGTTGGGAACGGGCTCACCCTGTAGAGTAAATAAAATGACGGTTTCACTCTGACTTTATAAAGGACACTCCTGAAACAATCTTTCTTTTAGGATCTCGTGGTCGACAGATGGATTCTTACGTTGATGACCTTTTTGATCCTGTGTTTGATCAGGGTCCTGGGGTCAGTATCATCCAGTTCAAATACATCAACATTATTGTACAGTTTATAGTCAAACTGGCAGCTACTTTGAATAAAAAAGTCATTATTTTATAGCAACTGAGCAATATATCTGTTAATTTATCATTTAAAACCTATTAAACTTCTTTTAGTGAAGTATAAATGAAAAGTGTACTTGTGCTGTCTTTCTTTAAAATAAATGCCACTGTAGATGTTTTGATATTTATACATTTTTTAATATATTGTTTTACATTTGTAGAGTTGGAACACAAGTCATGAATCAAACTCATGTCACCTGCATGAGCAGCACAGCTCAACATGTTGGTGCACATGTTCTTATCACTAGGCTACACAGATATATTGTTAACATTCATTAAGCCAGCAAAGATTACATAGCTTTGGCACTTATTAACTCTGAGATCGACTTGTATTGCCTTTTATCTTTGAGGGCTGGCCTGCAGAGGTCTTATGTGCATTTTTATTTGTTTTTTTTATTGGTAGGACTTTGAACGGATGGCCATGCTGAATCGTAGAATGAGAGGAGGAGGAGGCATGATGCCCAGCATGTACGCCGGAGCAGGTACAGATTGTATATCTGTTTAATTAGTGTGTAGTGATTGATTGATGGTGATACAGATATTTAGAGAGCAGTGAAGCCAATATAATGCTGATAAATATAATACAATTTAATGGTAACAAATAAGATGTAAACAAGATTGCTGAATTTAAACACTTTATTTACAGAATATTTATATATTTACCATACTTTTACATTTATCCATTTAGCAGACTCGTTTATCCAAAGCAAC